TTCATGTTATCTTTAGCAATTAATGTTTGCATACTCCTAAAATTACGGGTGATTTAGAAGTAAACTAGAAAATATGTAACTAAGAGAAGACATATCTTACAATGCAAAAATTTATCATAACCTTCTTACTAAGGGCTCATTTGGTTGCAGTGGATCCCTCTGGGATCTCCACTTAAAATCATGGCGCAGAAACCACAGGGCAACCTTTAGTAATGGTCAAATCTTGGATCATCTCTATAAATATCTTCCCATACCCATTCGTGGCTGCAATCATCCATACTCATTTGAAGCCATTCCACTCACTCATTCCACCCCTTGCAAGCCACTCAAACCACTCCATCCCTTCCACTCCCTCCATCAACCACCAGAAGTGATGAAGAGAGATTCAAGGCAAGAAAAGAAGGAAGTGTTTGGTGATTCCATGATCACTTTGATTCTTTGAAGGCCAATAATTTCCCTTTTTTGAATCCCTACACCTCAAGTTCATCTCTTTCACCACAATCCTATTCTTGTGAGAGAGTGTTCTCTTAGATTCATGAGGAGCTTTGATTGAAGATCATTTAAGGAGTTCTTGACTTCTTGTCGAGTGACTTTGCTTTGCTTGTTACTCTTGGATGGTGTGCGCATCCTAGCAGTTAGGAGTCACTTGAGAGCCTATCATTTTCTACGTGTGAAGGACTAAGAGTTTGTACAGGCTCGGAGATGGCCTACTTGGTGAAGATCTACCCCTTAGTGAGGCTTCTGGTGCAATCCATGATTGTATAGTTTGGTTGTGCTCAGTAGACCGCTTAGTGGGCCACACAACCGGGATCCTTCTGATCCTGAAACCTTTGGTTCGAAGCCTCCATTAACGTGGACATATGATAGCGCCAACCATCCGAACCACGAGAAAAACATGCTTGCGTCACGAGTGTTTGCATTCTCTTTTTACCATACCTCCTAATTAGTTGCAAGTTTTTACTTCCCGCCGCTCAATACTCTTGATAGTTTGCTTGTTAAGTTGTTTGGAAAGTCCTTGTTATGTTACTAAAAAACTGTCAACCCTAAAATTGGAGTAGAAATTTGTCAAAGGACCCCCCCCCCCCCTAGTACTTAGACCTCGATTCCAACTGACTACCAAATGAGCCCTAAGAGATCATTTAGCTAAGAGAGCCATGTAGTGGTAGTGCTGAGTTGAGGCATGTTGTGAAAATGTGAAGTCCAAGTTTCTGCAGCTTTAATGCTTTCGGTAGCAAATGGTGTAAGATACATTTTTAGAAATCAATTGGACCTATTATGGCCATGAAGTGATTTGCTTGAAGATTGATTTTTTAAGATCAACTTTGTATTTCCGAAGATAGCTTTTGTGACAGTGAGTATCCCGTTTAAGGATTTTGTCACCAATGTACCCCATCTAAGAAACTTGTTGACACTAAGTACTCCACTTAACAATTTGCCTCCAAACTGACAGAGCATGCCCACCGTTGGGTTGACAAGGCTCGCCACGCAAACATGGAATCCTTGAATACGGTTCCTAACGAGCGTAGCAATGACAGACCTAGGAACCTGTCGAAGCCTGGGCAAGCTCATGGCCTTCCAAGAAACATCTAATGCCTATTGTAGCTCCTAAGTAACTTCTTGAATCAGTACAACAGAAACTGTAGCTACTACTTGCATATTATTAATTTAATGTTCATTCAGATGTTTACTTCAGGAAAAGTGGTTTGGAACGTTCGGCTAGCATTGAAAAAGATTTGGAGTGGTTCAGAGAACAAGCAATTGAAATTCCAGAGCCAAGTACTTTTGGATCAACATATGCAGCTTATCTGTCTGAATTGGCTGGGAGCAGTGCCCCGGCCTTCCTTTCTCACTATTACAATATTTATTTTTCCCATACAACTGGAGGTTTGGCGATTGGTAAAAAGGTAACTCCCTTTCCGTACCTGATTAAATATCCATGATCTTGTCTCAGTTATTCTGGCAATTCTTCCATCACTAAACCAGATTGAGTTCCATATTGTGCATACAAAAAAAAATTTAGATGCTTTGTGCTGTATTTTATTTTCTCAAGTCATGTCATATTCTGTTGCATTGCTTATACAAAGTACTTTTTTTTCTATGCCCGGGCCAATATATTAGCCTTAATACTTATAGTACTGCAGAGTATCTCTTCCTGGTAGAAATTTTACAGTCCTCCTGTTTATAGGTGGCATGATCTTATTTGGACAATCAGTTTATATGTTAGACAAGTTATGATGGGACTGTTCAGGAAATGTTCATAAGTTTTGTTAATGAAAATGGATCACTGTGAAATACAATCATGAGATAGTTGCAGTGTGCCCCCTCTGTCCTTTGTGAGATCAAGTATGTTTTTATCGTGAACTTTTAAGGCGACATGTATGTTCCGTGCAAGCCTTCATGTTGCCCAAAAACCGTCTTCACAATCATTTTACCTGACATTTCTTTAACTGAATATTTTGGCTTGGTAATTGGACTCAGGTAATTGTGCTGTTTGGCCTAGTATACTGCATTTTTCTTCAGATGATGGAAGAGAACATCCCCCCCAGCCTGTACATCAATTTTGAAGTCTAGTGCTTCTCAAGCAAAACAAAATAAAGCAGCAAACTACGAATCATCGGAAACTCAGAAATTACATAGCCTAGTATACTGTGTACACCTCTGACTCCTTGTTGTAAATACCACTTGTATTTTTGGCCCAACCTTTGTAAAAACCGGCATATCTTGAATTGCCAACATTCGGTTGACGTGAATCCTCGCTGCTCTTGTTGCCAAACTTTGGCGACTAAATCATAAAAACCATCCCGATTTAGCCAACCCAGCTCAAACTTTAATAAGGGGCTGGTTGCCAACATGGGCAGCATTGCCGGCATCAAGGAGCAGCGGAGTATGGTCAGAAAGAAAAGTCTCCAGAGACCAAAGGAAACTTATATTCCCAGTCTGAATTCATAAGGGCACGGTCCAACTTTTAAAGTAGGATCATCAAGTGAATTAGCCCAAGCATATTGCCTCCCTGCCAAATCTATCTCATGCAGATACTAGCAATGACTACGTTGAGAAGGAATGGCCAGAGAGATTCAAAATTACCATTCTTCTTATCATCAGCCCTATGAATGATATTGAAGTCCCACCGATGAGCATTGGGAGGGTTTCCTTCTTGCAAGCATGAACTGACTCGATTAAAAATTCATGCTTGGATTCAGGTTGTGCCGCCCCATAAACTGCAACAAGGATCCATTCAAAACCATCTCCACTTATTGCGTAGCTGGAACTTAATAAAAGATTTCCTATGATGTCTTGGATGAAAGCCTCTGAAGAAGTATTGGTTTTATGTAACAGTGCATAACTGGTACTGTATTTGTCTTGGATTTTATGAAAGCCTCTGAAGAAGTATTGCTGTTTTCTCATGTAACAGACATGCGACAAAATTTTGGAAGGGAGATTGCTGGAGTTCTACAAATGGGATTCTGACCCAGAAATTTTACTAAAAGATGCTAGGGAGAAGCTTAATGAGCTTAGCAAGGTACACATTGCGCAATGTTTTCCTGCTTTCATGTGAAGTTGAAACCGTCCCCATGAGGTATGTGATTGCTGATCTGATTAGTGCGTCTCTTCTGGTGTGCAGCACTGGTCTCGGAAGGACAGGAACTTGTGCTTGAAAGAAGCCGCAAAATGCTTCCAGTACATGGGGCGGATCGTGCGGTTAATCGTTTCATAGACAAACGACCAATCACTCTACAGGCTTAACTTGATTCTTGGTGCTGCAGATGCATCTCCGCGCCTTCTTCATCTACTGGCAGGTGCTTCCCTTGGCAGTTGACGGCCTACTTCCTGCCTGGCTTCTGATAATGTAGGGGGTACTTAAGGAAAACGAACTCAGTAACTTGTGATAATGATGGTGGTGATTTTGATGGTAAATGCTGGAAATCTTCTATGCAGTGTAGCCTAATCTAGGTCAAAGGTCCTTCTCCGGTTATGGAGACTCCATGCCAGTGTGTGAGGACGGTTTTTTTTTTTTGACAATTATCTCCTGCTTTATTTATTCATAAGGATCGTAGCATCACTTACCAATAAGAGGAATAACCACATCCTGGGCGGTGTCCATCCAGATATTTGGAGGAGAAAATCTGGCTATCCTAGTAAGTTCATGAGCTACTTGATTTCTTTCTCTATTACAATGATCATAGATGACAGTGTGTGAGGACGTTCATGGATAGGAGTCGGCGGTAATGTATGGTCCTTCTATAAGTATATGTCATAGTGTTTCCGTATATGTAGTGCTCTCTTGACAGAAAGTCTCCCTAGGCGGTGGCGCTTCTCCTTGGGTTGATAGTTTGACTGATCATTGATACGCTAGTACATGGTTATTGTAGTTCGGAGCACTAATGTAGCACACAGACGGGTGAGAACCAATACACTGTTGCGGAGAGCACAAGTACTGCAGTTCAGCGTACATAGTGCACTACACAGGGGGAACACAAAGTGTACTAACGTTGGGGAGTAAAAAGGTGTACATTGTTGAAGGGAGCACAATTGCACTACATAGGCAAGTGCAAGTAAACTACAGTTTGGAGTACAACTTGCCCTCAGATTTCCTTTTTCTTTTTGACAAAATCTATCAATATAGACCTAATTCCGAAGATCACGGCAAGAGGAGAAAAACCTCACCAAAACTCTTAACATTGCAGCGTTTGAAAACGTCAGTTGCCGAACAAAATAAATCAGCCCACAGCAACGTCAACCTAGCTCATTTATGCGCGCTTATTTAAGGCCACCCTGCTAACTTCTTCCCCTGCCCTCCCTCCCAAGTCCCAACGCTACAACTCCGAACAAACACCCCAATAAATCCAACCAACACATAAC